CAGCACAGATGTCCTACTCTATTCAATTACATCCTTTTACCATTCCAGGCCATCCTCAAAGGAAGATACACATGCTTTTCTTTGTTTCACACGGTAATGTTTCACAAGTCATTCCCTTAATTTCCTTCATTTGTATCCTAATTTCCAACACTAAATGCAAAGAGTTTCTAAATTTCACCTCAATGATTGAGGCCATTTATGCAGTTATAATGCTGGCCTTTCTTCTTCCTTCCTGCTCCTGACCTCCCACTAGGCTTTTGCCCACTCTACTTCTCAGTGAGCATCATTTTACAATTACTCTTGCATCTGCTCTTGACCTCTAAAATTAATTTCTTCCTTGGGATACCACTCCAGCTCACAATCTTACCCTGACCCCCACAACCCCATCTCGCTTCTAACTCAAGAACCCTTCCTGGTCCTCATAACTGCTGACATTCCTTTCAGGCACTCTCCCACTCAAAAACAATCATCACGCTCTTCAGATAAAATATCCATCCTCTTTGACCATTATCCCATCTCAACCTTTTTCCTCTCAAGGCTGTTTCAATGCATTGTCACCTCTTAGTTCTAGACATCTCTCTGCAAAATTTCATTTTAATTAATTTGGTCCATATTATTTACTGTGACTAGCCTTCCTTGTCTTCTCAATTACTGTGCTTCTTATGATATGGTTAACAGTACCATCCTGTCTCAGTGATTTTGTTGTCCAGCTCCATGGCCTGGCCTTGTGTCATTTCATTTCCATTTGTCTTAATACAGCTCGCATTTCATCAAAAGCTTCTGCTCACATCCCTGGACTTCCCTAAATTTTTAACCAATGCTCCTTCATCTCCCTCCTTCACATGGTGCCCACACTATTTCTACAACCTCCTTCAGTCCTGGTATCCTCTCGAATATGTTTTGACCCTCTGGTTGGAAATATTTGGACATTCCCAAGATTATTTGCTTCAAAGTTAGAAACAATTCTCCTTAACCCACCATCTCTACAGGTCTCTTTCAATGTTTAAAAGCTTGCCCAAACTCCACCTTTGGAACTGAACTTTCGGTCACCTCCATCAAATTCTTGCACATGGCTTGATCTCAATACCTGTAACCTTTTTATGTAAATTTCTCAGCACACTGCCTCATCAACTCCAATTAAATATACAATATGGTTGCAAGTTGTGGCTAATGTATGTAGAATTAATATTCCCTAGCAAGTGTTTGAGAAGCTAAAACTCTGCACAAAATTTTCTTTAAGAAGAATGGTGGTACCAATGTAAAATGTGTTTACTACTTAGGCAAACTTGGCAGCCAAGAACTGGCCCTGAGGGAAAATCCTATTCAGTTAATCATTCAAGAAATGAAATGACATGACAGATCTATTTGTGTTTATGGTTCGTGGCTTAGTGAAATATGATGAGAGATTAATTTGTGTTCATCATTGTTTCAACAATTCCAGGATACTACTGTTAAGTAGTATCATTTAGTTGTTTCTTCTGTCAAGTTGTACATTGAAAATTAATAAATTATTAATTATATTCTTCTGTGATCTTTGAATATTTTTAGTAGAGCTAACCTTTATGTAGCACAAACCTATTTTCACTTTGATTTTAAAAGACACCAAAACAGCTTTTCAAAATATCACTACAATGATTTATCCTACACGTCAAATCTTACTGTTTAATTCTTTTGATGATTCAAGAAAGTAAAAAAGATGAAGATTATTGGAGTTATCAGGTGAATTAGCTTGGCTGGACTATTGAGTCTGAAAGTACAAAGAAAGATGAATACTCACAATTAAAGTTGAAACGTTCTGAATTAATGTGTGTGCATATGGTAATATTAATTCTACTCTCTCAGTGTTGTTCTGGTTCCAGAAGAACTCTACAGCAATGACTCCATTGTGCCATTAAGAATATTGAAATTAAAATCAGAATAAAGAAAAGTTTTAACATTCATTTAATCTCTAATTTGATGTAAAATATTCTGATCAAAATTGGTTCAAAAAGAATGCTGACAGCATGGTGCAGTATCAGGCATACCTAAAAATGAGGTGTCAACCAGGTGAAGCCATAGCATAAGCAGCTAGTGATAGACAGATGTAAGTGACTCCACAATTAATAGACCCGATCTAAGCTCTACAGTCCTACCGCAGCCAGTTGTGAATGGTAGTAAACAATTAAACAGCTCACTGGGACAGGATGCTCCACAAATATCCCCATCCTAAGTGATGGGGGAGCATAGCACATAAGTGCAAAAGATAAGGCTAAAGCAGTAGCAACAATCTTCAGCCAGAAGTGCTGAGTGGATGATCCATTTCAACCTCATCCAGGAGGCTATGGCCCTGAAAACATTCCAGCAATTGTACTGAAGACTTGCTCCAGAGCTTGCTGCACCCCTAGCCAAACTGTTCCAGTAAAGCTACAACACTGGCATATACATGACAAAGTGGAAAATTGCCTGCATACAAGGTATGTCCTACACACAAAAAAAAAGGACAAATCCAACCTGGTCAATTACCACCCATCAGTTTATTCTTGATCATGAATTAAGTGATTGAAGGCATCATCACTAGTGGCATCATGCAGCACCTACTTAGCAACAATCTGCTCACCAACTGGTTTGGCTTCTTGGCTCCTCACCTCATTACAACCAGCGTTCAAACATGGACAAAAGAGCTGAATTGCAGAGGTGCCCTTACACCTGAGGCAGCATTTGACTAAGTGTGGCATGGAGCCCCAACAAAACTGGAGTAAACTTTTCACTGAATGGATTCATACCTGGCACAAAGAATGATAGCTGTGATTGTTGGAGGTCAGTCATTTCAGCTCCAGGACATCTCAACAGGAATTCCTCAGGATAGTGTCCTAAGCCCAACTATCTTCAGCTACTTCATCAGTGACCTGCACTCCATCATAAGGTCAGAAGTGGGGATGGTTACTGATGATTGCACAACATTCAGCACTATTCGCAACTCTTCAGATACTGAAGAATCCATGACCGAATGATAATATCCAGGCTTGGGCTGCACAATGACAAATAACATTCACACCACACAAGTGCCAGGCAATGACCATCTCCAGTGAGGCAGAATGTAACCATCACCCCCTGACATTCAATGGCATTACTACCATTACCATATTGGAGTATGTCATTGGCCAGAAACTGGACTAACCATATACATGCAATGGCTATAAAAGCAGGTTAGAGGTTAGGAATCCTATAGCGACCAACTCACTTCCTGACTCCTCAAAGCCTGTCCACCATCTCCAAAGCACAAGTCAGCAGTATGCTGGAATATTTCTCACTTGCCTGGATGAGTGCAGCTCTGACAACACAGGCGGTTTGACACCATCCAGGACAAAGCAGCTTGGTTCATTGGTGCCACATCCACAAACATTTATTCCTTCCAAAATAATGCACACAGTCATAGCAGTTATATGCCACCCACAAGATACATTTCAGAAATTCACTAAGGTTCCTCAGACAGTGCCTTCCAAACCTATGATCACTACCATCTAGAAGGACAAGGGTAGCAGATACACGGGAACAGCATGACCTGCAAGTTCACCCCAAGCCCCACAGCATCCTAATTTGAAAATGTATTGCCGTTACTTCACTGTCCCTCCCTACTGAATGACATTGTTTGACCACCTACAGCACATGGACTACAGCGGTTCAAGATGGCAGTCTACCCACCACCTTCTCAAGGGCAAACAGGGATGACCAGTAAATTCTGATCTAGCCAGTGGCGCCCGCATTCCATGACTGAATAAAAATTGTTTCCTTTTCACTTATAAAATTTATTGCTGTTGTTACACAAACACAAAGTTGGCCTTTTAAATTTGCAATACTAGACAATGTGTGATCCATTAACAAACTGCATGACATTCACTTCTCTCTGTCCAGTTTTGTAATTGTTATAACATATAAAACTGGAGATCACAAATACCAAGAGTTTGCCTTATTGTGATGGAATCAATCATTTAAACTGTCACTAATATTTCAGTTTCAGGTGATTTGGTGAAACATTTGATTTGTTCTGTCTGTAAAAACATAGATTATTTTAATGAATTTCAAATTCGTGCATTGAATTTTGTAACATACAACTTAAATTTATGTTAACTTGAACGTAAACAAATTTATCCAACAGTGGGACAACAGTAAGATGACATTTCGAAAATTCCCTCTAGGTCCATCGATAAAATAGATAGCTGGCTCGGTATATACTCAAAGAAGCCAATGAATAGTAGTTCCTGTGACTACCACCCACTCTAATCGTATCAAGGTCGTATCCTGTCGGCTGCGGTTTAAGAGGCAATGCACTGGAGATCTCAGGCGTCCAGAGGAAATGATTATTGGGCTGGGAACTAGTAAATTATAGGTGCCCGTATGTCCAAACGCTCCTTCGCGCAACGTATGAGCATTTCCTGCACTGCAAGACCTATTCACAGAAAGTTAAGAGATAACGAACAAGTAAACACTCCTGGGTCCAGTTTTCTTTTCATACTCTTTGAAGCATGGTTCTTTATGCATGTCTGAAGATTGTAAAACCATGTGCAATGTGCTCCTCAGAACTAACACAATAAAGAAAATTCTCTTACGATTTCCACGTCTTTACATGTGAAATTTTTGTTTTGAAAGAAGATTCTAAAACTGATACAAAAGTTCTTGATCTAAAACAAAATCTTGTATGACAGTGGGAGATAATGACAATGCTGAGTTCAGAGAAAAAGGACAGAAATGATCACTTTAAATATTTCAGTTCGTCTTTCGATTTACAATGAAGTGTCTAGAACTGAAATTGTTTCCCTGCTTCAGAGTTGCATACTACTCTTGCATATTTCTGTACTTTCGACTGAAGAAGGAAGGTTCGTAAAAGAGAGAAAAAAATCGCAGCGTTTGATTAGTATTCGCCGACAGACCCAGCCTGACATACCATTGGCCTCGATAAGGGAGTGGGGGGAGGTCTCTGCGAGACGTCAATGGTTTAACAGATTAGCAGGGTTGAAACTCTTGAGTCCGCCGAGCCGTCACCGCCCCCAACCCCCCTAAAAAGATCAAATCCTCGAGTTCACAGGCACAGGCAGTAATGTAAAAACTTAGCCAGCACTGACTTTCCCCTGTACCTCCTCTTACATTATGTTCTCTTACCTAATATTACGCCAACGATATCGGATGCTACGTACGCCAAGCACCAACTCCCATAGCACTGTTCAATCGAGGATAAATTGAATGAAAGGTTCGAGTGCTAGTGGTTGTCTTGTGGTGAGGGCTTTCTGTACACAGTCGGTAATCATGCAACTTGTGTTTTGGGTAGGGATAATGTTACTTTTCGTCTCCAGTATAGAAGGAACACCACAAATGTACCAAAGACAAGGTAATACTTGATTATATTGTGTACTGTGTATTACTGTTGCAAAACTATCGAGTTTTAAAATAAAAGGAACAACATTTAACATAGTAATCGTCAGTGTGAAACACATTAAGACCTTAATTTGTGGTAATGTCCCGTGTGTTAAATCAAGATTTTATCTTGTTTCAGCTAAACTACGAGAGCAGCTAAAGGTTTATGAAATCGTGACACCCACTCGAGTGACTGAGTTTGGGGAAGCTTTCCCAGATACGATGCATTTTAGGAGGAGAAAACGAAGCATTGACACCGACCATTGGGCCTTCACAACCCACTACAGAATTAGTGCATTTGGGCAATTTTTTCATCTCAATTTAACTGCCGATTCTGGATTTATTGCACCGATATTTACCGTTATACACCTTGGAATACAAGCTAATCTCACAGAGTTTCACGAAGAGGACACTGACACGAAACACTGCTACTACACAGGACAGGTCAATGCTAAACCGAAGCACACAGCTGTCATCAGCCTCTGTGCAGGACTTGTAAGTAACATTTAACCCTCGTGATACTGAAGTTAAGTTTGGAGTTTCCAAAGTACAGTTGGTTGTTTGGTAATAATCATTCTAGTCTTGAAAAACAAAGTTGTCTATTTTGTCATTTTCAAGTCTGAAATGGTGATTTGGCAACATCGCTATATGCAGGATGTAAGTTTCAACGTTATCAGAACCGATTGTCCCTGGGGACAAAATGTGAATTGGACATAATCGGCGCTAGAACGTGCTAAACCATCAAGACCACACTGGGAAACACCACGTCCTCTTTGGGTAATTTGCGTAACTCGTCATCACCACCAACCCCCACCCCCTCCCCACCCTCAAAAAAAACACCTTCAAGACGACCATCGCTAAATAAGGCAGGACTAATGGGACTGGGTAAGAGTACAGGCTGCTCAGTTCGCACGGTGTACACGGCCTCTGGAGATCCTGGGAACATGTTTGACTGGGGTCGACGTCAAAGATGTTAATAACTCCAGTTGACAGACGCCTCTCTTACGCACAGAGTAACGCAGCCCCCAAGCCCTTCCTCAAAGCAGCAGCGTGAGCGTGGCGTCAGCCATCCGAGTTTCTAACCTCACTGAGCTTTTCCCCATTTCACTCAGTGATAAACTCGACCTTTAAAGCTGCCAGCTATTATTCACCTCTAATGAGGCGCAGTGAGCTCTCCCCTTTGCGCTATACTCCACCTTAATTACACGTTGTGAAACTTAAAAGCCGCTGATTTAAATGCAGCGGAACGGACGCCCTGTTCTTCTCTCCGACGGGATTTCCGTTTGAATCTTTCAGCATGTCTCACCTTCACTGCCACTCTCCCCGCTCCCCATTTGTCAACAAAAATCATTTCCAGCCCCTTTCAATTCTGAAGAGTCACAGTGGACTCGAAACGTTAACTTTGTGTGTGTGTCTCTCTCTCCGCAAACGCTTCCAGACTTGTCGAAGTTCCTCCAGCACTTCGTTTTTATTCAGCATTAGAATTGTTGTAACGTCTCCAAAAATTTGAAGAGGATTGTTACTATGTCAGGAGATAATGTACTTATAGATCTCAAGAAACTACCTTTCATTTGCTTACCTTGTGCTATTTGGATATGTTCTTCCCTGAAAATGGTTTTTTTAGGTGACGCAGCGATCAGACACTTATCATTCTTAATCTCCAGTGTAAGAAACAGAAAGAAGCTCTTAACTTCGAGGAACTAGTGATCGAACAATGTCAATTTCCACGTCTCTAATGCAAAGATCCTGCCTCAGTTTACCTGAAAGAGGGATTAAACATTGAAGCAGCGTGACAGTTGTTTTGTTGTGCTGTGGGCGGGGCTGGCTTTTCTTCTGAGGGGTGAGACTTTCTTAAAGCTGCAAAGAATGTTGCTTGTAAATTCATTCGCATTTTTAAATTAAGCAGAAACATGCATCGCGAGGGAAAAAGGAGAAGACTTTGTAAGCGCGGGTTTTCTGCTTTAAAAAGGCATTGTTTATGTCGTTTTTTTTTTCAGAGGCACCAGTATTGAGATATACCTTTAAACTGTGGTGCGCTTTCAGCAAATAACCCTTATAGCCGAGAGGGCGAGGAGCTAGAGCTTCTCGACGATAATGCAACTCTGGCAAACTTATTCTGAGCACTCAGAGATAGTAAGAGCTGCCGATGCTGGAGCCAGAGATAACACAGTGTGGAGCTGGAGGAACACAGCAGGCCAGGCAGCATCAGAGGAGCGGGAAAGCTGACGTTTCAGAAATTTTTGAAGGATCCCGACCCGAAACGTCAGCTTTCCTGCTCCTCTATCTCTGCCTGGCCTGCTGTGTTCCTCCAGCTTCACAGTATTATTCTGAGCACTCCTTTCCACCTGAATTTTCCGCCAGGGTTGGGATGTAGTCACTTGACAACGTCACTTTTTAAAACAAAATTAGAATAGGCTCATCACACTTTCATTCTTATCCGACAAAGTTTGGCTGCTGTTCTTCAATTGTGCAGAAAATCTTGTCCATGAGACGATCTCGGTTCTTCAACGTCAAACTGGAAAAGTAATGAGCAGTTATGTCACTGCAAATAATATGCCTAATTGAGAGCTCTGGGAGACGAACAGGTTATGAGATTCTCATGGACACGTCTGGAAAAAAAAACCCAAAACTGCGAATACTAGAATTGTGCAGCACAGGAACTGGCCCTTGGGCCCACAATGTTGTGCTGAACATGATGCCAAATTAAACTAATCCCTTCTACCTGCCGTTGGTCCATATCCATCCGTACCTTGCATATTCATATGCTTATCTAAAAGTCCCTTAAACGCCCCTATCGTATTTATCTTCACCACCACCCCTGGCAGCTTGTTCCAGACTCCTACCACTGCCTGTGTAAAAAAAAATTGCCCCTCACATCTCTTTTGAACTTTCCACCCTCTCACCTTAAATGCATGCCCCCTACTATTAGACATTTCAACCCTGGGGAAAAAGATTCTGAACGTCAACCCTATCTGAAACAAAAACAGAAATTGCTGGAAAAGCTCAGCAGGTCTGGCAGCATTGTGGAGGGAAATCAGAGTTAACATTTTGGGTCCAGTGACCCTTCTTCAGAACCACCAACTTCTGTATTTAAAAAAAATCCTTTCCTTGGCTATCATCAGATCTGAAGAAGGGTGACTGGACCTGAAATGTTAACTCCGATTTCTCTCCACAGATGCTGCCAGACCTGCTGAGTTTTTCCATAAATTTATGTCTTCATCTCTGTGGTTTGTTCTGTTGACGATGGTTGATGCAGCCCAATGTGCATTATAATTAGCATGCTGCTTTCAGATCTTGCAGCCTCCCTAAGGTTGTATTGCAAATATAATCTCTTCCATCAGAAGAAACTAAAGGATCTGAAATATTTTTTCAGCACCTCAAATATTTACTCAGGGATTTTGCAGTAATATCATCAGCCTTGTAATCTGTATCTGCAAGGAGTGAACCCCTTCTCTAATATTCTGCATATTTGCATCCACTTGAATATTTTTTGGAAAATGTCCATTTTTGAGGAGTAGTATATATCATACACAATTTTCATGGTGATAACAACAATTTTGTCAAAACACTGAATTTGAATTCTGTCTTCATTCTGTCAATAATGCATTGCACAGTGGGAAGCCATTTGTTAGTTTTTAAAATAAGTTGTTGCTCTCAGAATCATCTGCAAGTTCATGACTTCTGTAGTGATCTATCTAGGTGTCTGGAAAGTTTCTGTGGTATGAAGGCTGAAAGTTACATTGATATTCTGAGCTTTGGCTAGGTGGATATTTGTTTAAATTTTTCTCAACAAAACACCTAATTAGGCTGGTCTTTGAATGAATGAATGATTATTTATTGTCACTTGTACTGTACAATGAGCAACACAGTAAAATACAGTGAAAGGCCACAATCCGGTGCCATTCTGAGTAGCTTAAGAATGAAAAGATACGGCTGAAATAGAATCCATCTTTGTTCTGCTGCCTCTGCCATGAGTCCTGAGCCCTGTACCAGCTGACCAACAACACCTGTGCCGAACCCACCAATGTCAGAGTCATCACTCTTCAGATGCCAATCTTCGCTGTGCCCACCTCACCAGCGGGCTGCCGATGCCAGGTCCCGTGTTGGACTTACACACTTCCCTGCTCCAGGCTTACCACAACCAGGAGCTGCTGCCACTGCCTCGCCAATAATCAGGAGACTCCAGCTCTGGACGTACTATAATGAGGTGCTACCACCACTGCCTCAACAATAATCAGGTGCCCCTGCTCCAGACCTACCATAGCCAGGAGTCCCTGGCTCTACTGCTGCTGCCTTGATGACACCTGAAGTCCCCAGGCACACATCACTATGCGGGCATGCAATTCAGTGACAGTGGCAGTTGATGTACTTCCTATGTTAATTAATTCGAAGTGAAGATCTTATGGCCACTTGTGCTCAAGTCCCATTTGCCATTAGTTGCTGGTAAATTGTGGTACTGCTGTGAATTGTTGCAGTTTGTGTCAAATGTCTACAAATTCCTCCGAGTAAATTTCTTTGAGTAAGCTATGGTGATACTTTGAAATCTTAACCTTTCTATACTTGACTACTTCCATTTCAACTGCCTGTTTAGGACACAACTTTATTTCCTTTGTTTTCTTTCTACCCATACCAAAAACAGAGGAAACGAAAGATGAGCTGTTGTCACTGATATGAGAGAGAGGACATACACTGGCTAAAAAAAACAATATTAATTTGCAAAAGTGATTGCAATAATATTTCATTCATTTTCTGAGGCAATTTAATGTAAACTTCTCTTCAATTCCTATCAATTGAAATAAGTATGTCTGTTATTTCTTGAGCAACACTCAAAGATTTAAATTCATTATTTACATTCAAGGATAAAATATGGAAATTAATGGTTTTTTTTTTACATATGATATTTATTGAAATTGTTTAAATTATTAATCAGACATTCTAAATGAAAAATAAACTTGTTCTTTGATCCTTTGAATCTACCATCCTATCTCCATCCTCCCTATCCTATCTAAGTTTTGTGAATGTGTTATGGCTTCACAAGCCTCAGCGTATCTTTAACTTTCTGTGCATTCCAAATCATATCTATCTTAATCAAACATGTAACAGCAGAGTATCCAATCAGGTTTTACCCTGGCCACTGTACTGAGACATCCTTTCAATATAGTTGACTACATTAACATCCTCAACACCTCACTGTTGTTATCCAGCTGGGTGGAAGTGCTGTAGATTGATTCCATTCTTACCTATCTAATCATGTCTGGAGAATACCTGCAAAAGCTTTGTGACCCACTCTCATACTGTTACCTCTGGAGTCTGTCATGGATTGATTCCATCTATTTGCAATCTATGTGCTACTTCTTAGTGATATCACCCAAAATCACTTCAGATTCCACATGTATGCTTGTGAAATTCAGCTTTACCTCACCACCACCTCTTTGGATTCCGTCAGAGTCTCTGACTTGTTGCACTGCTTGGCCAACATTCAGTTTCAGATGAGCAGAAATTGCCTCCAAAAAATATTTGGTCCCTGTGACAAACACCATTCCCAGAATAGCATTTCCAGCCAGATGTTATGTTGAGTCAAGGCAAGTTTGCTACCACATATCAATACCACTATCCATATCATTGCACTACTCCAAACCTACCTTAACTCATCTGCTTCTGAATTCCTCATCTATGCCTTTGTTATCTCTGGGCTAGATTGCTCTAATGGTCTCCCAGCTGGTCACACATCTCAGACTCCACATGAACTTGTACTCACCCAGAATGCTGTCCATTTCTTTACCCACTCCAAACCGGCTCACCTGTCACTTCTGTGTTTACTGACCTTCACTGGCTCCTGTTTTAACATTTCTCAATTTTTAAATTTTAGTTTTCAAATCCCACCCATGACATTGTCCCTTCTGATCTTTGTAGATGAAGAAGCAGAGCTATGAAAGCTTGTGATTTCAAATAAACCTGTTGGATTATAACCTGGTGTCGTGTGACTTCTGACTTTGTTCACCCCAGCCCAACACCGGCAATTCCACATCCTGAATCTTTGTAGTCTGTGTCAACCCTAGAAGCTTCGGACACTTGTGCTTTTCTAATTCTGGCCTCAACTTCGAAATGGGAAAGAGGAGCAGGAGTAGTCCATTCAGCCCTTCAAGCATGCTGTGCCATTCAGTATGCTCAAGGCTGATCATCCAACTCAGTACCGCTCTTTTGCTTCCTCGCAACTCCCTGGGTGAAGAAATTTCTCCATATATCAGTGGAGAAACTTAATTGCACCACCATTAGCAGATGAGCTTTCAAGCTGCCTTGGACATAAACTCTGAAACTTTCTCACTGAACTTCATTTTTTTTTAATGAGGTTCCTTGAAAGCTATCTAAGTAAGCTTTTTGTTGTCTCTGACTTTTGCTTACGTGACTGTTTATTGATACCACTCTTTCTAAGTGCCTTGTGATATTTTACTGTGTTAAATGCATTGTATAAGTCATTGCTGAGTGATTTTTACTACAAATGAATGAACCGTCGTAATTTTGGTTACACAATTGATGTTTAATACCTGATATTTAAGTAGGAAAGGTGTTGGCCCAGTTTGCTGACAAAGGCCAAAAGACATACAGTTTCTGAAGGTGATTGCCAAGATGTCTCCTAATGAGGGTGATATAAATTTTGCGATTTTGGATTTTTCTTCCCTGGATAACGACTTTCAATGATAAAAGGCCTGCTTACAATAATGTTCGTGAAGGGAGGAAGAAACAACAATACCAGCTGAAAGGGAGAATGTATTTTGACAGCGTAAATTAAAGCAGGTCTTTTCCTGCAGACTTCT